GAGAGAGAGAGAGAGAGAGAGAGAGAAGGGGGAGGGAGGATGGGGGTGGGTGCGAGAGACGCTTTCAAAGGCCTGTCCCCTAGCAGGTGCAGGTAGCTCCTGCCAATAAAGCGGTGCACTCTATTTCTCTCTCTCTCACACACACACACACAAACACAAACACACTCACACGTATACTTTTACCAATCGAGTGGAAATGACACAGGATGCACGCCGCAGAAAAGCGCCCCGCAGATTTACCGTCGCAGGGTTATCAACAAAGCGATTTTTTATATTAAGCCATCGTGGAGGCGAAAAAAAAAAGGTATGTGACAGATTTAGAGGCAATAAGGTAACACAAAACGTACACCTAACATTAATAAAAAGCAAAGAGAAGAATTATTTGAGCAGATTTTCCTTTGAACAAGAAAGGCGTTCTAACGTGAAAGTCCTGTAAAAGAAAAAGAAAACCACCTGCTTTGGTCGGTCAGTCTTCGGCGGTTAATTGGATTTAATCCGCTTGCGAGTAAAGCAAAGTATGGCTGGCGGACCCGTCTGCTGCTCCCGTCAGCGTGTTGCGCGGGGGAGGCTATGGATGGAGGGTGGGCAGCAGGAACTAATACTACGAAACAGCAGCAGCCTGACCCCCTCCTCCCCCTCGACGACGGAAGACCATACGCTCTGACCGGAAAGAGGTCCTCAAAACTTGAGCAGAACACACACGCACACACACACACACGCACACGCACACGTCACGCAGTGTCTCTCTGCCACTCGACACTGTACCTCCGGGCCACTTGAACTTGGTCGCCTCCCCCTCCGCTCTCCGCGGTGTGGTCGAGATCCGCTGGTCTGCAACGCAAAACAACATTTTGCCCCCCCCAAAAAATTAATAAAAAATAAAAATAATGAAGAAGCAGATAGCGCGAGAAAGGTTAACGTAGGAAAGCTCCCGCGCCTCTCAGCCGCAAGTAACGTAAATATGGCAAGATGGCGAGTAAAAACTGACCGTAAGGCCGGAAAAAAACCCAGGGAAAGTTGCGAAAAAAACACCAGGGAATATAAAGAAAATTTGACAAAAACCGCTTACTTTGGGTTTTTTTTCTAAATTTTCAAGGAAAGTTTTTCCGAAAAAACGGTTTTTCTCCGGAAACTTTATTTTTTCCGGAAAATTAAAATCTCCAAGATGGATTTTAGATAAGAAGGCGAGGGTGGCGGCGTGCTGGTGCCAATACAAATGGAGAGGGGAGCGGCAACGCTAGAGAGGTGCGCGAGAGGCACTGGAGGAGTGCTAGAGGAGTGGGCGAGAACACCCCCCTGCAAACAAGACAGCTTGATTTTGTTTTTAGGAAGGAAAGTGTCAGTCAGCTTCGTATTGCCCAAGGCGGATCTCTTGGAAAACAAGCGGGCCAGCTTAAAGAACGCATGTGGAAACCATGCGCCTGGAAAAGAACGAGCAAAATGTACTGGTTTTCAAAGCTGCAAAATATGCACTCTCATTAAAACGTCTTACAAAAAACCAAGCTCTCGTTTTATCCGTGCACACACTCACAGTCTAGGCCTATAGTTTTTTACTCGCAGCTTGCTGAAATCTGTGTTCGCCGTGTTAATTAGGCATTATTTTAAACACACCAGCACGAACAATTTTGTTTCCATACTGGCGCATTCAGAAAGACATCAACACAAAAAAAATCGGTAAGCTTTGAATAAAAAAGTTTCATAAGTGGTATGGAGCAGCTCGATTCTGGGAAAGGCACCGTGGCGTAGCCGCTCACCCGCACCCGACCCAACGAGACGCCTGAAAAGGAATGATGTTGCCCCCTCAAACGTGTTGAACCCCTCAAACGAGTCTTACTTTAGCTAGTTATTCCCGTGGAAACGGGGTGGCCGAATCCTCCACCCGCCTGCTGCTAGGTCGTGCACATTTACCATGTAGGTAAAACTCGTACTAAAACTAACTCATTTAATTAAATAAGTTAAAATCTCCCCCAACCTTTTTTTTTACAGTGATGAGAGATGATCCTCGTTAGATTTAGCGGAAAACTTTAAAATAGCGAGATTTGTCGTGAGGTTACGATTTGAGCATAGCGAAATTACATTTCTGATCACACTGCGTGTATACGCTTAAAGGGCTATAACGTACACATAGTCCACGCGACCACTCAGTAAATCGGAAACTAGGATTCCCAGCCAGTCAGGTACGAGGGGCTCGAGGAGAGATATCTGCCGACCGTGCGTGTTTGAAGCACCCCAAAGCCGGTCAAGGGGGCGACACTCGCGGTAGCGACACAGAACGTCTATCGCTGCACGTCTCAGTAGAGAAACTTCCTGGCTGAGCCAAAGAGCACCTGGAGAGCCGCTGCTCCAGTCACTCCTCCATACCGCGGCACGAACCCCCGCGACTGCAGCCATAGCGGCCGCCACCCTCCTCGGCTCGGTCAACTCCTCCTCCAGCTTTGTGTACAGCAGCAGCAACGTTCGCTAAAGTCCGCGGGCAAAAGTGAAAACTTTTGACGCGACGGCTCTTACTCTGATTGCAACCCGCACCCACCACGGACTCAGCTAGGGTTGGAAGTTCTGGAAAGTTTCCGGAAATTTTTTAGGACAAGTAGGGAAGATTTACGGAAAAATAAAGAAAATTTCCCAAACCCTGGAAATTTTTCGCTTTTTCCGGAAATTTTTGGAAATTTTTCGGAAATTTCCAACCCTAAACCCAGCACACGAAACGTTGTTCTACGCGTATGACGAATACTCAAATACGCGTCAGTTTGTACATCACTACTTTTTTTGAACACAAGTCATCAAAATGCTCCCTAGTAACCAACGGTTACGATTACGAGACACTCAAAGAGACATCTACAAAAATGAAAAATAGATAAGTCCGTTAGTTCTATTAGCTAAGATAGTATTGTTAGGTGCAAAGTTCGGCAGTGACGGCGTGCTCCCGTTAGTCTCATCTGCGACATGTTTCTACATTTTATTAGACACACATAGGTAGAACAAATCGTTTAAGCACAGCGACGTTAGCACAGCGTCAAAACAGGGTGAGCAGCGTGAGAGCACAACTCTTTCATTTGCACACAAGTCTACGAAGAGCAAAGGAACTAAAAAAAAAATTACATCTACTTTCAGCCTAGTATACTGTGCGCAACCAACTTTCAGCTTGAAAAAAAAAGCGGTGTGAAGTTTATTTTTATTTCGTTGTTAAGAAAATGCAAGGATGAAAAGGAGCTGTCACCTTTGTGGTTGGGCCTGTATCGCACCGTCACGTAGTCGTCTGCGAAAAATAAAAATAAAGAGGAAACATTCAAACAACAATTATTACCGCCAACGCAATGAGAGAGAGGCGAGGGTCGTATGTCCGGCGTGCGCACTTCTCGCTCCACGACACTCGATAACATCAACAAGAGCGCATATGTATTATCACCTTTCAATCGAACGGGGCAGACAGCGGGGGCGAGTGGGAGGGGCAGCATGCCTTGCTTCAAACTCGATTTTGGAAATATGAGAGGTACATGCGACGGCAGTGTGAATGTTTGGTAAACACTTCTTTTAATGCGTCTCCACAATGTTTGAAATCGCTGCAAAAGCGCGCGCAACAACCAGCTGCAGACGTCGTCGTCGGTTGTATACTCGAGGCTACATCGGGTGATGGATGACGTAGGGTTGGAAGCCCTGGAAAGTTTCGGGAAAGTTTCAGGAAAATTTCCTGAAAAATAGAGAATTTCAGGGGCAGAAAATTTTGCAGTCTTCGAATGTTATGTAGTTTCCAGACATTTTCGGAAATTTTTCGGAAATTTTCTGGAAAATTTTGGAAGTCACGTCAACAACACAACGCTGCCCCACTCGACGCGCGCGCGCGCAAAACGGCGCACACACAACACAACAGTCTTGATGAAGGGGCATCGTGTGCCGCCGAGGTGGGAGGTGGGGAGGGTGAGGAGAGGGGGTAGAGATTCTGCACATTATTCAGTCACCCACCGGGGCATCATTAGAATTGCGCCCCCCCTTTCCCC